TCTCCCGCCCCCGACGACGGGCTGCGAACAGACACCGGAGACGGGTTTGTTCGATTTCTTTTCCTCCCTTCCGTACCGCCTTCGTGCGTGGGTCTGCGTTTCCGCGAGCTGTTGCCGCTGCAGGCAGGGTCCGGCTTGGCGTGCAGAGAAGCGTTCGTCTGTCGGCGTGAGCACGCTGCTGGGGTCGCAGCTCGGCCCTGGGTTTCGGCCCGAGGCGTGACCGTGGGTATCGGGGTTCAGCGTGTCGATGCGTAACGCACCGAGAAGTACGTAACGGCCGCGAGCCGCCCAGAGCCGATAGTCACCTTGGTGAATCCCGGTGAACTGGGCGTTGAAACAGGCAAGCAGTGCTGTGCCTCAGGAAAGGTCACATACGCTGAACATCCGTTTCGTATTGTTCCAGGATAATTTCTTGCATTCATGCAGATTTGATTCATATTCATTAGTACCTAACTGTATATACATAATCGGGTGTTTTTTTCAAGAATGATATGGATCAGTTTGAGCCTTTTGCCAAAAACCATCACCCACCATTTGGAGGTGGAGTAGGGGCCAGGGAGGCCTTTCCGCGCTGTTGCTGCCTGAGCGCTGGCTGCAGCGGGAGGTGGTTGGTGGAAGCCAGGTCCAAGCCTTGCTGCGTTGTTTGGTTCCGTTAATGTGGTGGCTGTTTTGCCTTGCTCCCTCCCTAAAGTCTGCGCTCAAGGGGTGTCAGGCTCTGCCTTTCTGAAGGTAGCAGTGGGCTGTCCAAGGATCTCTTCAATTTGGAGCTATTTCTAAGAGTGATATTTTTTTAAGGAAAGCCACAGTGGGGAGGAGGAAAGCATCGTGTCTACCTGGAACATTCAAAGGAAATTTGAGAAGTCAAGTGTCAAATCATTTTCCTGTGGTCCTTCCCAGCACGATCAGTGAGCTCCCTGTGTCCATATTTAGTTCCCTGCGTGCTGAGGTGAAGTGGGGAAGGCTTCGTGTTCCTGTCGCACAGAAGCAGAGGTGCAGCACAGCGGCAGGTTTTACCAGTGATCAGAGGGGTCTGTGCCAAAGCTGGGAATAGTGCCACCCTTTCCCTTTCTATGCTTTCCCTTATTCTTGCTCTCCCATATCCCACGTATTTTCTACCCTAATTCTGTGCATTCGAGGAGTCACAAAGCTGTGTGCTTTAGTCATCTCAGAAAAGTTCCCTGTATAAATATGTCTTATAGTTACAAAGGTTACTAGTGCAACAATTTAGAGCGAATTATGTGCACGTCTTCCTGATCCTCTGAGGTTGGTGTATTGTTTTCCTTTGTCACAACAAGTGACAAAGCATTTTTTTTTTCATTGTTACTTTGGTGAATTTGGGGAAATCTGCCTTTCATTAGGGTATTTGTGTAATTGATCTACAAGAGCTGTAGGAGAGGGTTTCTTGGGCTCCTCTTCTGCTGAAGGAAATTAATCCAGTTGTTCAGTCACTGCGTACAGCAAATGCTACTCTTACCCTGTGACTCCCCTGCCGCAGGCCTCTTGTACTTTTCTTTCTGAACTGGGCTACTATTTCCATTCCTGTCACCACAGTGGAATTTAAGCCCCAGAGTGTTACTCCTCTAATTTAGGCGTTGCTTTCTTTAACTTTTTTTTCCCCCTCCTTTATCTTCTTGTCTTTTTCTGGACCATCTCTGTGGCATCTCCGGTGGTGTGGTCCATTGAGATTACCTTCAGTAAGGGATATGTGAGAACAGAAGAGACTTATTGACCTGCACTCCCTGCTCATAACCACTTGTAAAGATGCTCTGCTATCCCTCTCATTAACATCCTTGTAACCTACAATGGGGATTGCATTTTACCTGATAAGTACCAGGTACATTAATACTTCATACAAAGATACGTAATGCCTAAACTGAGATGCTTAATGCTGTAAAAGCAGTAGGTACATTTCAAGTTAATTTAGTTTCTATGGGATACTACAGACTGTTTATGTTCCTATAAGTTGCTTTCGGAACTCTGCTTTCTAGAAGCACCGGGTATACAGAGCTACACGAATAAACTGCAGCTTTCATACTCAGCACCTCCCCTCCTTTTTAAGATGTCTGTGAGACAGTTTGTGCCTTGGAGGCCCTGAAACCATTGCATGTGCCAGCAGAAAGATAAATGAAGTGCCACCCTGAGTGATATATTTGATACTGTAGAACGGATAACATTTTGCTTATAAAAATTATTGTTGTGGAACAAGAGATTGTCAGGTAGTAATGCTGACAAATCTGTGCTGTGTAGATACAGCAGAGGGTTTGGATGCCCAGCTTAAGCAACCACATCTGAACATCTCGGCTGCAGTACATTTATTAGCTATGTCGTGAAGAACAGCTTTTAACTGTAGCAATTAAATTCGTTGTTAAAATAAGACTTTTTGCATCTGTGTTTTCATCAGTAGTCGATTGTGCAGGCTTGGATGTCCTCTGTTCTGTGGGTGCTTTGATTTTGGTTAAGGTCAGTTGTGCTAATAGTTAAAGCCTATTAGCTAGTATATATTTTTTTTTTCATTTTAAATCCAGATTTTAATTAAAGTAATCCTGTGCACCTCAAGATACCATGCCAAAGATGTTCAGGCACTGCTGAGCTGTGTGACTGGCTCATTTCTGTGTGTTGTTCAGCGATTTCGGAGTGTGCTTGTAGTCTAGGTAACCTCAGAAATTGCCTCTTCTTGTAGGTAGAGACTTTTGCTTCCAGCATAAAAGCCTGATTTTGGGGGGTGCTGGGCACTGGGTCTGAGCTAAGAGCACTCGATGCTTTTCAAACAGGGGTCAGGGGTTTGCTGTCAGACGCCCAGTGATGAGCTGTCCTCTTCCCCACTTCTGACACACTAAAATTAATATCCATTTAACAACTGGCTAAAGCATTTGTGATGGAAAAAAAGCTGTAACAATGAAAATTGCATCTGGGTTAATGGGAGCAGGGTTGAAACATGTATTAAACTTGAAAAAAAAATAGAGGTGCATAATGGGGAAAAACTGGGAAGCTAGAGAAGAAAAAAATTATGTCATGATCTCCAGTATGATACAAATCCATATGAGCTGAACAGCACCTGCAGTTGTAATCTTGGTTACGTGTTTTTCAAGATTTATGTTTGTAGTTTAACTTTTCCTTAAGTGATATCTGTGATTTTTGTTTCATATTAAAAATCAGGAATGTATTTGTTTAACTTGCGATATTTTAATGTCCAGGTACAGCTCCATATGGTAAAAATATTATTTTAATTGTCAGATAAATGACCTTTTCTTCTTTTACATATAGAACAGGGAAAAGCTACTAAGAACCTTGGGAGCATGGTCATGTCTGTGGATGTTTTTTTTTTTGTTCAGTTGATTCTGCATGTTCCAAAGCTCTTTGTAAGCAAATTCTGAGAATTTGAAATACAATAAGATGAATTCTTTGTGCTTAGTTTCAGTGATTAAAAGATGTGTTTTTGTAATCTTTAATTTCTATTGTAATGTTGGGGAATTTATATAGTAAAGAACTATAGCGTGCTTTGGGAGCTAGAGAAACAAATGAACAAGTTTGCTACAGAAAGCAAAAACATTTAAGTAATAAAGATGATTTAAATTTCATTTGTTTTGTGTTCTGTATTACTCTTCTAGGATTTCAGTTCTGGTCAGTGATCATTCAAGTCACTTTGAGCCTTTCATTGCCTTGGCAATAGTTCAGGGTGCTTTCCCCAAAACAGGGCAGTGGTCCTTGGTGTACCTTGAAGAAACCCTGTAGTTACCTATAACCTTACCAGCGTAAGTTCAAGGCTGCCATGCCTCCACATTAAATGAATATTATTGTCCTAGTTTCATCTGGGATAAAGTTAATTTTCTCCCCAGAAGCTGCTGTGTTTTGGATTTAGTATGAGAAGAGTATTGATAATACACTGATGTTTTTAGTTGTTGCTAAGAAATCAAGGGGTTTTTTTTAGTTTCCCATGTTCAGCTGATGGGCAGGTGTGCAGGAGCTGGGAGGGAGCACAGCCATGCAGCTAGCACAAGCTGGCCAACGCAAATATTCCATACCCTAGACATCATGCTCAGTGTATAAATGGGGGTTGGCTGGGAGGCAAGAACTTTCTGTGAGGTCTGCGAGTTCTGTGAGTTCTGCAATCACTGCTTGGGGACAGGCTGCACAGTCGGTCATCAGGTGATGAGAACAATTACATTGAGTATCACTTGTTTTGCATAATCTTTTTCATCATTCTTACTCTTACAATTCCTACCTTTGTTGTCTTACTAAACTGTCTTTATCTCAACTCACGAGTTTTACTTTTTGTCCGTTCCCCTCCTCATCCCACTGTGGCGGGGAGAGGAGTGAGCGAGCGGCTGTCTGGTCCTAGTTGCCAGCTGCTGGGTTAAATCACGATGATTACTATGAGCTGTGTAACTTCTGGAAAGCACTGGAATACACACATTAAACTAAGTTTATTTAGGACATTGTCAACTTAATACTCATATTTTCCAGCAGATGCAGACTACCCATGTCTACGCTGCAAAACTGGCGTGTATGGAGGGTGTGTGTGGCATTTTGAGACAGTCGCCTGAAAATCCCAGATATAGGTGCAATATCCTTTAATTCTGTTCTAATGAGATTTCTGGATGCTAGAGGATGCACAGTTAGGATCTGCTGTACTCTGCTGTATCAGCACAGAGCAACCAGAGCACAGGATAATCCTGCATCTATTTTCCCACTTTGTGTGTTGTCTGTCTCAGGGGTCAAGAGGGATTCAAAGACTTCTATTAGCCCTGTGCTCTTTCTACAGCAAGTATTAAAATCTGAAAGTATTAAAAACAAGAGGGTTTAGATTTGTGGGTTTTGTAGGTTATTTGCACCAGCTCAAAACAGAATCCAGGCCACTTGTTCAGTGTGAGCTTGCATGTGTGCCTGTGTGCACATACATGTGCTGAGGAAGCTGAATTCATTGCCGGTCTCCGCAGTGAGACCAACTGTTTGATTATGTTTGTACTTGGAGAATCTGTGTGTGACAGTGCTGAATGGGGTGGTCATGTGGAAGCTTTGACATTGCTGGTGTAAGCTTAGGGCTGATTTATTTTACTTTTGTCTTTAAAAAGTGTGATTGCCAAAAATTAAGCTCTAAGCCAAACCACATAGATAATTGGGATTTAAAGATGCACGGACCTCTCCTTGTCAGAAGCTGTCTTGATTAGAATCTAAGACCTAAGACAAAATGTCTTTGATCCATAGCTTTAAACATTTAATAATGTTGGCTAGGAGGATGTAGGCATTCTCTTACATGACCAGTTCAGTGCTCACTTATGTACAGCGTAATAGGGCACTGACCATTACTCTACCAGCTGTGCTTTCTTCCAAAAGCTAAAGTAATTTTCTCTGGCATCCTTTGATTCCCTCAGAATGTCTTGACCTATAATAAATAGAATCAAAGCATCAAGAAGCTGAAAGAGCAGATCTGAGTTTCACTGAGGAGGTCTCCCATGCTCCAAGCACAAGTTAAAGTTCTGATGCCTCACTGTGGTACAGCGTGGCACAGCCACAGCGACTAGCTGTGTAGTCCACATGCTGCAGA